AGCACAGACAAAGTGAGCTCGAGATACAGCCTAACACCAGGCAGCGGGGAGAGGCATTCAATGGCGGCCGCAGCACAGGGTCGCAGTGCGAGGTGTGCATACACCCCAACACTGCGCGATGCAGAAGACACTGTTTCTCCCTCCCCAGAAAGCGCCGAAACACTTCACGTTCTTCAAGTTTGACAGATTTTCAGAGCTGCAAAGAGACCTAATGAAGTTCCCGCCCCCGGTCACTGGCCTGTCTACAGCGCAGACACTCGGGCGAAGCCAGCAGTGTTCTGGCTTGGTCTGTATGCCCAGCTAAGGCAAAAACCCAACTGCTTATCCCGTTAAGACTCTCCGTAGCTAGGTTAATTTTGTCTTACCTGCCGCAAACGAATAAGAGCCGCCGAATCTCCCATAACTCGGTGTCGACGTGCTGTGTTGAGTGTAACGCACTGTGCAATAAAGGTCGCACTGAGCAGTCTCAGCGAAGGCTCAAGCTTACAACTGCATACAGAGTCATATGCACTTCAGAGACACACTGACGGTATTGGGGGCCGGCGCCCCGCTGCCCGTAAAGAGGCTTGGCGTAAGACACGTACTCTTGTTTGGATTGCCTTGCTCCCGGGTCCTTGACTCCACTGAGGCTGTTGCTCCCCTTGCCTTTAGCCACTCAAATGTGGGCATGGAGGCTGGTTTGCTGAGAGCATACGGGGCAGGAAATACATAATGAGTTTGCCCCGAAGAATGCACAGGTCTAGGTGGCTTCCTGCGGCTTCGGATGGCATCCAAAGCCCAGTATTACACTCAGCAAAAGGCTTGCTCGTGATGATCGTATGTCTTTAGACTGATCACAGTCCTTTAGCCCTTGCCTTATGGCAGCGGGGTTGCGTGTCCTGCTCGAGGAAAGCTGCCAAATGGAGCTCATTGCATTGCGAGTAGCAGAAGAGGCCCAAGACTCCAGCAACGCAGTATAGGTAGAGTTAGAAACCACATCTACAGTGAAAAAGCAATGACACAATACATAGCCCCAACGACAGCTTTCTTCGGTAAGTGGCGTAGGCGGCGCGGTGGTTTTACTGGGGAGTCGACGCTAGAGGATTTACTGAGACTGGCTGCTCATGCTGTACTAGTTAGGAGTTAGCTTTCACCTTTAAAAGAAAGCCAGCCTTATTTGCCTTTTGCCTTTCACTGGAACCTCACAGCGGAAACCAGTATTAAAACGTCTCCTGCTGTTGATGCAGGACGCTGCAGGAAGGCGCCTATGACACTTCCTGTCTTTAACCTAGCTGCCAGTGGTCTGGTGACGCCTCTATGACTAATTTATCCCTCTTTTGCGCTCAACTTCTGAGTGGAAGTGTACACTTTCATTTGCTGCTGCTTCTGCCATGACCATTCATAGATGCTTGCGTTGAGTGCTGGGGTAGCAGATCTCATGGGCGCATGCTGCGATTTAACGCATCTGGCTGCGAGTTTTGCCCCTATCTGTTTAATTGTTGTGGCTTGGCTGCTTCTAGTGTGCCTGCTGGTGAAAAGGCCGAGTTGAGCATTTACCGACAACGCACCGACGCAGACGCTCATTATTCATAGAAGCGGCAACGGGCCACCGGCAGCTCGCTAGGTTGCAGACAAGAGCTGCTATAGGTACCTTCGTGCAGTCTCCTGTAGCAACAGCAGGAGACTTTTTAGCACAGTTTCCCGCTGCAAATATCCAGCGAAAAGCGAATAGGATAGGCTTTATTCGAAAGGTTAAAGGTAACTCTTAGCTGCTAAAGCATGAGCAGCAAACCTCGGTAAATCCCCAAACCTCCACCCCCAGTGAAACCGTCGCGCAGCCCACACGACTAAGCAAACAAAGCCTTCATTGAGGCTGTGTAATGCATCGTCATCGTTTTACTGCAGATGTGGCTGCTGCTTCATCTATTTACTGCATTGCTGGAGTCCTGGGCCTCTTCCGCTAGTCTCAGTGAGGTGGGCTTCATTTGGCAACGGTCATCGAGCACGATACACAACCCTCAGGCTCTAAGGAAAGGGCTAGACCAGCATTACACTCCCGTAGGACCACCCCGGCCAAGTCTTATGCTAGGCTTTAGCTGCCTCTGCAAGCCGTAGTCATTTGGCAGCACAGCCTATAAGTGAAATCTCCGTGCACTCAGGGTAGACTCATGAAAATTCTTGCACTTACCACAACCATTACTGCACGAAATCAAAGTTGTGTGTGTTGATATAGGTTACGACAGATGCATGAACCTTGCAAAAGTAGTACCAGAGTGCTGGAGTTCAGAGCCCGCATATGCGGAGGGTACTAACAGCGTAGAGGCTCACTAATAAAGGGTGGACAAAGTAGGCATATATTTTTTGTGCAGCTGCAGTAGCTGATCCACCAGACCCATCTCGTAGGAAATGGGCAATGAAGTTGAATAGCTCTCCAGCAACACCATTTGTATCTGTTGGTGCTCCTATGAACCGCATTAAAAAGCGCGCAGTGTTTGCTTCTCCACGTCTCCACGTACCGAGCATCGTGAGGCTGACTCCAGCACCCTCACAAGCCCCACGGTATTGCCACCCTGCGTAGTTTATTTGCGAGAGCAGCACTACCCGTTTAGCTAGCTGTGGGGTCTAAATTGATAAAGATCACGATGCATGGAATTGTGCCATCCGAGAGTGATAGCCTGTGCAATTAGAAACTGCAAAAGCTCAGAATTCGCGGCTGCTGCTGACCAGCCTTTTCATCAATTGCATCGCTCCAACTACTCAGTCGTAGTCAGCTCCAGAAGCAAAGTCTACCCAACACTGAGTACGCTACAGAAGTACTCACATCATAGTACTCAAGCAATGCAGTAAGACGTTTTTACTTCAAAGGCCCATGCTTGAAGCAACAAGTAACTCTGTAAGAGCTCTTGCTGATGCTAGGTCTACGAAACGAGCCAAAACGAACAGCGAAATCTCGAAAGTCTTCGTCCTGCAGCTGATACTAGCAGGTGCTGACTCTCGTACTTCGAAATCACACTCATTTATCCAGCCGCAATTTCCTATTTCTGGATCCGCTCTTCCATCCAGCTTTTCCATCCATCCGTTTGCTTAAAATTACGTCGTAGCGGGTTACGACGTCCCATTGAATACGGCTAGCGAAACACTAACATCTAATGAAATAGTCGCGCTTTCAGGAAGCACAGGGGAGTAACAATTAACAAGTGTGCCCCGGGAGATGTACCACAATGCTGGAAAAGGGCGAACTCAAGTTTCCGGATGCGTCTGATCGAAATACGCAACGACGTCTTGCGCCTCTGCTACCGCACTATTTACCGCGTCGCCTTCTGTTAGGTACCAACTAGAGCTGAATTGTCTTGTCTTAGGCTCTGTACAAAAGCCACAGCGAATGGATGTAAGAGTGCTGGCGTGAGGCCACGGGTAAATGAAGACCAGCGAAGGCAACTACGCCCGCAGTAAACAGGCTGCCAGCATTATTGAGTTCGCTGCTTGGCTCCGGTCCAATGCCACAGCTGCCATGGCAACGAATTGCAAAGCATTTCAATTAACTTGTTCAACAGCCTCAAGGAACTCGCAGTGTCCGCACAAGTGACAAGTCCCATAATCTCTCGATGTCGTCACTCAAGAATTGCGCGAATAGCTAGTTGGCACGCTCCATAAGAATCAGATTTTCTATACGGCTAGAGACACTCTAGAAGGCTTTACATATAGATGTCCGTAGAACTGCAAGTACACTAAACAACGCAAACCAAAAAACGCATCGAATCCCATGGAACTGGATGCACGAAAGTCCTAGAAAAGCAAATGGATCTTGATGTCTTGGCTGGAGTACAAGTCACCTTCAGTAGCAGCACATTCACCTCCACAGAGAATGAAGCATCAAAGAAGGGTCATATGCACCGAATTGTCACCTTTGAGCAATCTTCGCTGATCGGTTACTACGCACTTCGCTCGAAACCCCACACGTTTAGCATGCACAGCTCTCTGGGATACATTATGTATTCCCTACTCTTGAATGCCAAGCCGTACAACTTCATTCTGTAGAGCCATGCCTTTTGACTGCCCAAGAAGTGCAATTGTTAGAGTACAGCAGCTGGACTACGAAAAATAATGACCAGCGTCTCGACTTCCTCCCGACTGAATCATCACACTTTTGTTGGCGTCTGCTTCAGGGAACAAATAGTGCAGCCGTACTCGCTACGGCAAGGGATCCAGACCAAGCCAAACAGGAACTTACACTGCGCCTAGTGGAGGCACGCTTTGCTTATGCGAGCGTCGTTTTCACTGTGCACTGGCGACAGATAGAGGTCACGTTCACTAAGCACTGCTGGCGTGTTGCTGGGACTACTTGTCCTTCCACTGCTCTGAAGCCGCTTTCAAACAAGCGACAGGAGCAGTTAGGGCCGTCGATAGCAGCTAGCTCGCGCCATATCACAAGAGACTCAAAAAGGCCGTTCTTCCATCGGAAGCTCCAACAACACTACCCACGTCCTCCTCAGCACGCCGTTACTCGTCCAACCTCGAAAGAAAAGATGGATTCAGTAAGGAACGAAAGAATATCCAAAAAAACTCCGACTGGCTTGCAGTACAACATGATTTCTTGCGCTGTGCGGAGTAGTTTATCGCAGCCCCAAAGTTACCGTAAACATACGGGTCATGAAGGCTTCATCTACTAGTTCTCTTCAAAGCAGCTTTCTTCCTCTACCCTGTTTTCTTTCGCAATTACCTTGTGTTATACTCAGCTTCCGCTTTTTTCGTGGAGCTGAACTCCTTGCCAACACCGAGTACGGGCCGCTGCCGACCAGCAACTGGATCAAAAGCCACCACCAGCCTAGCCAGAGCAACAACAGGAATCACCTTTTTTTCTGAGCCTTCAGAACAGATGACCAGACTTTCTACTCAACTGAATTCAAACAATACGAAAGAACAGATAATAATGGATAGAGGGAAAGCCTGCGGCACAACGAGGCTGACAGGCAAGTAGTAGCTCCAAGGGAAACTCGTTTACGCAGAACGCTGCAAACTCAATGAAGCAGAGGGAGACGCATCACCATCAACAGGATAACGAGAAGCCCCACCAGCAGCAGCAGGACCACCTGGGGCGAAAGCAAGTGGAGACGCAAGAAACGGGAGAGGTGCAACGACGGCATAATCTCGAGGATCAACCAGGGATTCCAGAGAGCGAAACAGCATCGTTGCTGCAGTATAGCGGCTGTCCATCAGCAGCAGAAGCAGGAAGTTCCTCTGCTCACCACAGTGAAGACACACCCAGGGGTTGTCCTACAGAAGTGGTAAATTTGAGCCATGGAACCATACTTATCTGGGCTCCTGCTGGCTCAGCGTCAGTTGGGCCAACTTCTGCAGCAGCTGAAGCGGAGTCACAGTCATACCCTAATAGAGCGATCGGGAATCCTTCTGCTGACACTGGCTACTCTCCCTTGGCTCCACACTGTTTCGTCCCTCTGAGGCCAGGCGCCGCGCTGAATCTCTCTTCGGTTCTCCAGCAGCAGCTTATGCATCAGCAGCGACATCATGCCCGCCTAAGCAGCACAACAGTCGTGCGGCAGGTGCTTCTGGCTGAAGAGAGAAGAGCTGCTTTCTTCGCCCCTCAGCGGCTGCCTTTGATCCTGTACCTATCTTCTTACCTTGTCCCAGCAAAACAGCGGCAGAATCGGACTCAAAGTGAGCAGATTCTGGGTAAGAAGACTTGGCCTAACGGGAAACCCCGTGTCAAAGTTGCCTTATCGAGCTGGGCTGCCACCCAAGCAGCACCAGAAGCGGCTGGAGCGAGTCCAGAAATAGTTGACGCTGCTTTTCTGGCTTCATTGCTTTGGGCTGTCGCGTCATGGTTTTCCCGACTGGCAGAGCTGGTGCCAGTATCAGCTGAAGCGGCCACCGCCGCTCTAGGTCTTTGTACCACCACTTCTGCACGAGCTGCTGCTTTAGCGGTCGCCGATGGCTGCAATGAGGCTACAGCTGTGGCTTCTGCTGCGAGCGCTACTCTGCAGCTGCATGATCAGCCATGTGCTGTTCCTGCACAATCGCTGGCTGCTGGAGCTGCTTGCCTTCAGGGCGGTATATCTCCTCGTCTCGCTGCACTTAGGGCTGTTGCCTACTGGTGCTGTTGCTGTACGCTAGCGGAACAGGAAGCCACACACGAGATGCAGCGGAAACTGTCGCGAAAGCAGCAGAGGCAGCAGAATGAGTCGGCCTCTTCAGGCAGTGGTAGCACAGAGGCACTCCTGGAAAACAGTAACAGCTTGAGCAGCAGCACGACCCTTCTGCGCCAGCTGCATCAGGAGTGCAGTGAATCCTTCGCTCAGCTTCTTTTGCAGCAGAGAGAGGCACAGCAGCACCTGGCGGAGAGGCAGGGCATCGAAATGGAAGCTGCGTGCGCTTTGAGGGAAAAGCAAGAGCAGGCACTGCATGCAGCGGTAGCTGCCCGCGCAGAGTCAGGTGAAGACCCAGAAGATGCAAATGAAACAGCAGTAGTTGCGGCTGCTGCTGCGCTTACAGGTTGCGAAAAAGGCCTGCAGGAGTTGGTGCAGCAGCACTTGAGCGAGTGCGAGCTGCTCGACAGACACTGGAAACACGAGCAGCAGCTGCTGCGCCAGCAGCAGCTACGTATGTTCAAGGACGTTGCTGCAGACCTTTATCTGCTGCAACACGGCTCTGCTGCGTTGATTGGGGCAGCTCGGCAAGGGCTCGTGCTGCCTCCGCTTCCTTCTGCAGATGAAACCGATACATGGGCCTTCAGCTGGCAGCAGCAGGAACAGCCGCAGGAGCACCAACTACATGGCCAGCATGAACAGCGTAGTTGGCGCCAGGTGGGAGAAGCTGCGCGCCAACTCTTTAAAAAAGGGGGTAGCAGCTATAGTCTGGAGGGAGTTTCGCTTCACACTACTCCTCTCTGTAAGGATTTTACAGTAGTTGCTGCCGGTGCGGCAGACGCAGCAGCAGAAGAGCGGCTTTACGGCGGGGACTCAGGAGCAGCACGCCCAAAGACAGCAGCAGGCCCTGTGGCTTCCATTCTTGGTCTCGTTGGCGCAGCGGCGTCCGGCCGGTATAACGGTTTGCAGCAGCAACAAAAGCACCAACAGAAGCAAAGTGCAGCTCACACTGTACACAGGGGCGAGGTCATTGACGAGGGCCGTTCAGCTCAAGTGCAACTGATGGAACAGCAACAGCAGAAGCAACAAACGCAGCAGGGTTCTACTTCCGATTTAAATGCAAGCGCGCTACAACATCAGCAGAGTAAACAACGTCAGCGACAGCTGGCGGCGGCAGCTGCTGCTCACCAAGGACCCGTTTTCGACATGCCCCGTCTGCTGCAGGGTATCACTGGTAGTGCGTTGCCGCCGCAGCAGCGCCGTATTGCAGCCCTACAGCAGCACCACCAGCAAAACAAATTTCCTCGGCAGGTTGGGGGAGTGCAAGAGCATGCGCAGTTGAGGCTGATCATTGGGGCTCAACAGCGACGGACGTTCTGGCTACATGTTTGCACAGGCGTGCTGGCGGATTTCTTTCCCTCCAAAGTCGCTTCCGCTTTTCCAATGCAGCAACAACCACGGCACGGGGATGGCAGCTTTTCTTGTGCAGGGCAGTGGCTGTCCATGCTAGGGCGGGGGGATGCCAGCCTTTACGAGGGACCTGCAGAGGGCTGGGTCGGGGGATTTACTTCGTACTGTTATAGGAACGTGCGAGACATGCGCGTTAGCCCGCACTTCTACTTTTCAGGCAGCACGGGCAGGCCAAGCTGTGGGGAGCCATCGAACAAGGAGCGGCCCGAGGGTCCTTTCGACCACTTGTTCGCTGCCCTGGAGCGTGGGCCCCGGGCTTCTCTTTCGGGGGCAGTCTTGCCAACTGGGCCGGCTCTGCAGGAAAGTTCTGCATGTATTCGGGCTAGGAATGATGCCCCAGATTTGTTGCTGCCTTCGCTAGAGGAGCAGAAGCGATTACTGAGAGCGGCTGTGGACGCAGTGAGGCCCTCTAGCGTGAGCCATAACGGCCACCAGCGGCTGCTGCTGCAGCAAGGGGAAGTATTCGTGTCGCGCCATGCAGCTGGGCTACGCCCACAAATTTGCTTTCATCTAGTGGTTGCGTCGGTCAGGCAGGATGATGATAAACCCCAAACGCCGTCCGCAGTGGCACCGTTTGTAGAGACGTCGGTGCGGCAGCATAGCACCCGCAGAACCAACAGCCATGAAGATGAAATTGACTCACTCAGCGCACCTTTGTGCCAAGGGCTTCGACAAATACTGCGGTTGTGTGAAGCGCACGCTGTTGGGGCACTTCTGTTGCCCTTATTGTTGCTAGAGACAGAGGCCTCTGCCAGTTGTCTGCCTTTCGTGCTGCTGCAGCGCAGGATGCTGGCTGCGTTGCGGTGCATAGTAGCAGAGCTTCGAGCCATCGCACTCTCACCACTTAGCTCCAGCAACTGCTGTTCCTCCGATATGTCGGTCGACTGTTTGAGGCATATCGTACTGTTGCTGCCCCCTATGCAGCAGCAGCAGGAAGGATCTATGCACATGAGCCTCCTGGTTCAGGCAGCTGTAAATTTTCTAAGGAACTCTGCGTGCTGCTGCTAGTACTGAAGCGGCTTTTCAAAGTTACTGCGAGTAAGCTAGTATGAAGCATATCCTACGCCAGCGCCCTCTTGCCAAATTTTGAGGGCATCTTCTTAGCGAACTTGCCCGAGCGCAGGCACAATAAGCTCTGCCATTTCTTCACACAGCGCAGACTCAGCACAGCAGGACGATTAACCCTGCCGTGCCCGTTTTGTGCCTTTCACTTTTCGAGGGGCCAATGCCAGAGGCAGGCGGACTGCACCCTCTGAGCGACGTCCTGACAACTCCCATTCAGTTTGATGCTAATGATAACCCGCTTGGAGCAGCTCCATTGGAGCCTTGGGAACTCAGTGGAGCCCGTGTAACGGTAGAAGTGATCGAACTTGATGGTTGACCAGCGAAGGGAAAGTAGAGCGCCGGACTAAAATTCATGGTATTCACAGGGCATACGTAAGAATCCAAAACTTGAGTCCACGCAAAACGCGCTTGCCACACAGAAAGGGCGATAAGCGTCTTTACAGAGTTGCAAGCGCTCCGCCGTCGGGTGACTCGGTGTGCATTGTACGTCCTCATTCGCTGCACCGTTGTCGAACACAGTCACTCTGAATTGCTTTCATGGCACTAGACAGACACTGTAAAGAAATTAGCTGGGTTGAAGACTAGTTGACACTCACTGTTTTGTGAATGGGCTTCAGTAAAGTTCGCTAGGCCAAATATGGGAGCTACCAGCAACTGGGAACCAGCGCACAAGGGGAGAAAACAGATTAGACCAAGCACTGAGCCTTTTCTTTGAACTAGACTGCACAGCGCAGGCTTCGTTATGGAATATTCTCAGGTTGACCAATTCAAAGACACGATCCCCAGTGTTACCTGGCAGACACAAACGGGGGCCTTGTCTTGCAGCATGCCCTTCTTGAACATCGCTAGCACCCCTTTGTTTCGCTTTGGTGAACTGTTTTAATTGACATTCATCTTAATGATAATTCCTAGCTCAAGTGATTTTCGTACTGGCAGCATAACCGTTCGTCGGGTCGTCGTTCGAAAACCAGTTGTTGGCAGCATCGAGCGGTAGAATCATCCTTTTGTTGGAAAGCTTCATGAAAAATCTGCAAAGCAGACTTGAAAAATAATTTATAACAAGACAAACGAGTCTGGTTGCCTCAGGCTGCAAATTTGCGCCGCATATATCGCTTTTCCCGCCCCGATGCCATCACAGCTTCTTTCCATTCTCATTCTTGCCTGTGGACGGATATACCGAAGTGGACTTCCGGCTCACTGATGCTGCACTTAAGGCTTTGGCAACATCATAGCCCATCCTGGCTTTGTACCACAGGAAAGGACTCGTACCGAGGTCTGCCTGCTGGAAATGCGCGCAATGCAACTATCTGCAGCGGCGAACCCTTCGAAGTAGCCTCATTCATTGCTTCGAAAACACTAAGCAGGTGGTTCAAGAGCCACTGTGCTGCGTATTGCAAGTCCAGCCAAACCTGCGCCCAGATGCAATGGCTACTACTGCAAGCGCGCCCAAGGCCAGCGCGACTTCCCATCTGCGTTTACTAGAGCTACTTTCCCCGTACACCTCACCTGTGTGGCGCTCCATTTGGATGGCAGATGGATTCAGTAGAGACTTGAACGGATACGCAACACCGCTGGCTGTAAAGCTGATCAACTTGAGTTTATTTATCTCGTGAGCCTACCTCAATCTATCAGATGGATGACACGGCCCCAACGGCCCAGTACTGGGATTTGGTGCACGGCAGGGGCCGCGTCGCCTACTTTATCTCAACCCGATATTTACAAAAAATACTTAAGCCAATTTTGAGGCTGAGCGCCACGGACGCAGCAGCGCAGGTATTGCTGGAAGGCGCACATACAGCTGCCTTAACGGTGTATGCCCCACGCAACAGCACGTCGCAGCAGCAATCTCCGGAAGAGCAACAGAGGCGATGTCGGCGTATTGCGCAGCCTCTAGCCCCAGTGTCCCACACGCTTCTAGAGTTGATGTGTGGCTCGCGTCCAACGCATGTATGGCTGCTCTCCTGCCCCTTTTCGTTTGCCATGGAAAAATGCGCTCTTATGGCAAGCACTACAGTAGGGATTCAGCATGTGCATTTGCTGTAATTGCTACTGCCTGCTTTTCAGGTGCGTCTGCTGCACACGTGCGCAGTGTCGGGGTACGTGGGGGTCGACACCTCGCAGCGTGCGTTGCATTTGGCCCGGGAAGCCTGCAAACTGCAAACGTTTACTGCAGCGGCCCAGAGCAGCAGAAAATTAGTGTCAACAGCAACAAAAACATCTGCAACAGAACCTGCAGTGGCAGCAGCAGCAAAGTGCGCTCATGAGGGCCTTGGAAGTTGCATGCTGTTGAGTCACGACTGTCGGATGTTGAGTGAAGAGCTGCCACTGCTTCAGTCTCGGTTCATTTTGCTTGTCGCTGGGCTAGACGACATTATCGCCCGCAGCACGACTGACAACACAGATTCCCGAGGACCCTGTGATGAGGCCGTCCTCCAAGTGCTACACTCTGCGGCATTCGCTTTGCCTGTAGGAGGCACATTGCTGCTCATAGAGCCAACGTGAGCTCTTGCGTCCTGTGGAGTTCGGGGTTCCACGCAACTATGGTGCCCCTGTTGTGGTATTTCCCATGTTTTCTGCTCTTTGCTTTAACATGCTATCTTGTAAGCCCTCACGCCATCAGGCCGGTTCGTGCAAGGGCATGGGTGCCATTTAACCTCGAGTTCTCTCTATTCTGCTGTTGTGCTCTATCAGAAAACACTGTCCCGAGTTGCTTCTAAGCCTCTACAAAGCGCTGCAACACCCCGTGTTGTGCTGCCGTCTGCTGCTATGCGAGAGAGCGGAGCTGGTTGGGCCCTCCCGTGATGTTCTGTTACTGCGCCTCCGAAGACACGCGGATGCTTCGAGGTGTATTCGAGCTCTTGAGCATCTGCACGCCAGCGATATTGCTAGGTAAACGCGGTGAACCATTTAACAGCCAGGCCTCTCTCTGTGTGTGGCTCCGTGCTCTTCTGCGTTTTTGTCGCTCCATTTGGCTTTATCTTGTACAGGCATTTCTCTGTGTCAGAGGCCTGCATCGCCTATCTGACTCTCGTTTTATGCCTCCGGTTATTGTTCCTCATTGGCTGCTCCATCGGCTGCCCTGCACTTCTCCGTTTTTCTCCATTCTGCTCTCCGTTGCTGGGTGTTTTCCCAAAACTGTTCATTTGTATCTTTGCGTGCCTTCTGCTTTTGACCGTACTGCTTGCCGTATTGTTTTGAGTGTCGCTGCTCCCACTGTGTCTGCTACTTACGTCGTTCCTGTACGCATGGTCTGTTTGTTTAGCGGAACAGTCTCACTATTAGGGAATGCCCCCACCGGACCCTTATTTCTGTGTACTTCGTTTGGTTATGTATCTCCTACTTTTCTGTCGCTCTTTGCTCTTTGTCGGCCCTACAGACTAGCTGTAAGAAAGCCCTTTCGCTGCAGCCTCCATGGAGCTCTGGAGGCGCCGCAGGCCGTTCAGCATGCAGTGCCTCTGTATTATCGCCTGTCGCTCATCCAACAAGCTGAAGAGATGGCATTTCTTCTCCTACAGGTCCGGTCAAACACAAACCCATGTCGATTGCAACATATTGTCCTTTTTAGGTCTTTGTATTGTCCGTCGCCTTGTTAACGGACTCATGCCAAAGCATATTCTTCTATGTTCCTTGACTTTGTCTCTGATCGTTCTTCTGTTTATCCCTTCCTGCCACTCCCTGGAACTCAAGCTGCTCGCCGCCGTGTAGCTGTGAATGCTCATGTAAGCCGCTGGCATTTGATGTTCTTTTTGTTGCGAGACCACGAGCCAAGCAAAAATAGCTTCCACAATGAGTGGTGCGGCTGCCTTCAGGCATGTAGAGAAGGCAACTTCCTCGCGACAACGAAGCTGCTTGCTTTGGGGGCAGACGTAAACCGCAGCAGCAATGGCAGCATCAGCGAGCCTCCTCTCCATGCAGCAATAACTGCAGGGGCTCCCGATCTGGTAAACTTGCTGATCCGCCATGGAGCGCAACCAACTGAGAGCATCCAGGGCGATACTGCTTCTCTTGCTGCTGAATTGCTGCTACAAGAGGCGGTTGATGCAGGCCTCTGTCTTCCTGAGGATTTATGCTGTGCAAGCAGCAGCGACATATTAGCGGCCGGAAACGCTCACAAGGAAGCAGCGGTCCTAAGAAGCATCCGAGTACTTTCTTGGGTGGAAGGCGAGATATGCAGGCTTAGTGGTGGGCCTCCCTGTGGCTGCTGCTGCACGGGAGAAGACTTCTTGCAGGCAGCAGCGGGGGTACCACCTGTCGCCTCCCTTATTTGGCCATTCGAAGACCCCTTAGAAGTACGCAGACTCTGCAGCTCTTATTGTAGGCTACAGCGCCGTTGCTGCTCCAGCAGGTGTACTGTCGGCAGCGCCAGGTTGTTGCCGCATTCCAAACTGGGCGTTGCTGTCTGTGCTACAGGCTGCGCTGGGAGCGCACACTGCACCAGCTACAGAAGCTACAATGCACTAGCGCACGCTTCGATGGGGCATGCCACCACTGCGGCAGACGCTGCAGTAGCTAGTTCTGCGCTGCAACGGCAGGCACCGCCTATCTTTCCTCTGTCAGCTCCGCTAATCTGTACAAGCTTAGCAAGCAGCAACTACTGTGTGAACTATGAGCCCCCAAACCTTGGGTGTACCTAGACCTCGGGAACAGTGAAGGCTGACCTAGGGCTCCACTAGAAAAACGAAGAGAACTCCGCAACGATTCAGAGTCCATAAGTCCTTGGCGTTAAACCCGTCACTGCGGGCTGCCGCACCTCTTTTGCAGTTGCTGATACTAAATGTTTCCCTTGCAAAGATGAATTGCTATGCTGCTAAACGCATCCATTGCTGACCACCCACAGTACAAGCGAACCACTTAACACATTTGAAGCTGCTAAACTAAAATGCTGACTTCGGAACCGCTCTGGCGTCGGCATCGCCATTCGTACGACCTTAATATTCACTTCACGTAGCGTTTCCGTCATATCTCCTAGATAGGCTGATATGCTTCTTGCAAAACACACATACCCAAGGTGACGGGATGCACAAAGTGGGTCTACTGCAGCAAACTCTGCTGCGGCTACTGTAGCAGCCATTGCTGCTGTCGCCGGTGTTTCAGCGTAAGCAGCAGCACCAAACGTCAAGCTCCAATTCGAATCATACCGCCCAGACAGGGTCAGTTTCGCTATAGCTTTCCCAACCCCCTGTTCCTTTGTTTCCGCCTGTAGCACAGGTGGTACTGCTTTGAGATATGCTGTATTCGCAGAAGCAGCTGTTGACATACTAGATCATTCAATACGGCAAAGGGTTCGCAACTTCGCCTACGGGGGCTCCTTGTTTAGAGCCCCTCACCAAATAGATGAATTGAAGGTATTCGCCGTGAAAGAAGGCCCTCCTGCCCCTGCCCATCCGCTGCGCCACACGTCCAAAGCAATTACACGCAGGGAAAGCTGCGATGTGGCATACAGAGCAAGCAAGTCAAGAAATACGCGCAAATGCAACCGTGGGAGTAATGCAACGGCAAATACAGAGCATCACAACACCCATGGAAGCCGAGCCGAGCAGATGCGAAACACATGACCAGACTGACCAGTCAAAGCAAAATTACGTACTAAGGGAACGGATAGGTACGGCCACCAACTGTGGTCATGAATAATTAAGGCAGAAGAAATATGCTACGTAAGCGGCAATGAGCTGCTGCTCACTTGGATTGATTCATCGACGCGAAGGGATTGGAAGACGTGACTGCTGATCCGACAGGAGCCCCCACGGGAGTCCCGAAAGGCGTCGACTGCTGTTGCACTGCCGGTGGCCTGTATGTTTGCTGCATGCCCATTGCCTGCTGCGGCGGCTGCATTGGTTGTTGAAGCTGCGACTGCTGCAGAGGCTGTTGTTGAAATGGACTTCCCCCAAAGTGGGATCCCTGTAATGAAGCAAATGGATTGGATGGCCTTGCTGCCGGTTGCTGGGGGCCCCGCATGCTCGCAAAGGGGTTTCGCTGTTGTGGCTGCTGCTGCGGCGGCAATTGCTGTACTTGAAGCAAATGATTTGGCGGCTGGTGCTGCTGCAACATGGAATTCTGGTGCTGCTGCTGTTGCAACATCAACTGTGGAGAACGATTTGGTAGAGCCCCTCCCATCCCAAAAGGCTGCTGCTGCGGCTGCTGCTGCATGCCAAACAATGAACTATTTGGCTGCTGAATCGGTTGCATCTGCGGCATCATGGGCTGCTGCAGCATGTGCTGTTGCGGCTGGAGACCTCCGGGCGCCCTCCATTGTTGTTGTGACGGATCTATTAGTGAGCCAAGAGGCCCTCCTTGCTGAGGCATCTGCATCTGCTGCAAGCCTGGTGCCATAAGACTTTGTGGGGCTTGTCCCTGCCTCCACATACTAGCGTTCTGCTGTTGATGCTGTTGCGGTTGCTGCTGCTGTTGCTGCCCATGAGGCGCAGGTGCCATACCCATGCCTGCAAGCCCTCCCATACCAGGAAGAGCATTTTGCTGGCAGCCTTGTGGGGCCCCTGTGTCTGCTGCGCCCGTCCAAAGGTTGCTACTCGGCTGTGGCCAGCCAGATGAAACGAAATCCTCCTGGGGGGCACCTCCCTTTCGTCTGCTGCTGCTTTTCTCTGCGCGGGATCCTCGTGGCCTCGACGCAGCCCAGGTGGCCCGTGGCGGAGAGTCCTACAGAAAAGCAAAAAAATGCAACTTCGCTCGGCTACACTTTGCCGAAGCGTTAATGTGCATACAAATGCACAGAGAAATGTACGAATTCATGTGCACGTGCACGTATATTTGTAAAAAACGTTTGCGTGTCTGCTATCTGCACTCTAAATGTGTGAACGCCTAATTGTGCCGGTCTGTTTGAGTAATGGAACTGTGCCATGCACAAGCTGATGCAAACACACAAGTACACAAGAAAAATCATATACAGAGTTCTGCGTTTTGCAGGTGCAGGCATGGATGGAGACGCACAGGAAAGATAAACGTAAGAGACTGAACAGGGCCCCACAGACACAATGATGCCGAAACACACATGGCACAGACACGCAGGAGGAGATGGCGTAAGCAGATCCAGTGCTGCAGCAGATGAGACTGAAGCATACATCACTCATGTCAGGGGATTCGCTCGACGAGGATGGTGTTTCCCTCCTCCTGGAATGGCCGCGGCCGTGGCGCCTTCTTCTATCAGGGGCCCTCGCTGAAGAGGATGAGCGGCGATGAGACCTACTGCTACCTCCGCCACTATCACGGGTGCTGCTGCTACTGTTGCCCCTACGGCGGAACCATAAAGCTCAGAAAGGAAAAGAGGCGCACAATCAGGCAGAACAGAAGTACACGCAGCTACAGAGAAAGATACTGCAGAGCCAAGAGCAGCGGTATATATATACATATATATATGCATAACGAGAAGTGGACAAGGACAACCAAACGCATGGCTGCAGGACGAAACGAGACGTGGGAGCAAGATACGGAGTGCAGACCCGAAAAACTTGTAAGGTGCATGGAAGCCACGCGCATAAACAAAGCGGGAAAGTGGAAATAAGCAGGACCTCTCCCTGTCCCCTGAATTTTAAAGTGCTAGGCGCATCTAATAACTTTGTACTCTCCCTTCTCATTCCCTGTATGTTTATCTTTCTGCCCACGAGGGCCTTTGTATCTATCCCCTTCTGTCAGTACACGTTTACCAACCTCCCTGTCGCTGCTTGTCTCCTTTTGTCTCCATGTCTTATCCGCCTCTCCTCCTGTGCAACTGCACTCCTCTAACGTGTCTAGTGCTATCTCTAGACCTGTAACTGTGAGTGCCAATATCTGGGTCTTCGCGTCTCAATCCCCTCTCGGCCTACTTAAATATCTTTGCATTCACTCCCACTTGTGTGCCCTAGACTCACCCAAATTTATTCAACATTTTTTGAACTTCGAAAGCTGTGAATCTGTCTGTCCCAATTTTCTTTGCCGAGCTCTTCCCTGAGCTACAGCCCGCGCAAAGAAATTCATAACGCTGGAGATCCACTGAACAGACTCCCTGAGTAACCCAAGAGAGCAGGCAGCAGGCAAGACACATTTTCACAAGACCACACGAATAAAGAAACATTGCATAATTCCGCGGCGCTTAAAACTGCAAAAAAACTAACAGCAGAACAAGCAGTATATTACCCCTCTGCCGCAAATAGCGCACTGATCGTGGCTGTTCGCGAGAAAGTAAAGCTTTTCAAGATTGACAGCATCTTCATATTCCGTCTTGCTGAGACCCATCTCAGCCGCTGAGGCTGAACTGAACCCCATTTTCAGTTCCTGATGTAGCCTTTTCCGCTTGCGCTTCTCTGAGTGCCGTTGATTTGTCTAAGGCTTTTGAGGCTACTGTCAATGAATGTGCTGGCGGGGGTAGGGAGCAACACTATCCCTCAGTTCGGCCACTGCAGCCCCCCGCCAGCCGCTGCAGCCCCACGCTTGCTGCTGTTGCACCTGATGAAATTGTTGCAGCAGGTGTCGATGCCTATTGCTGCCTTCCCGCTCCAGGTGCTACTGTAACCAGGACTGCCCCTGCTGTTGCTCGGATAAACTCTGCTTTTCCCCAACTGCTCCTTCTGCCGCTAGTATCCACGCTTTTTCTGAACCTGTCACAGTTACTCTGCTGCTACTGCTGCTACTACGGCCGTCGCTCCTCAGCAGCCGCGATTCCTGCGTGATGATGAAGCTGCCGTACCGAAGCGTCCCGGCCGCGAAAGAGCAGCTTGCTTCTGCTCCTCAGCTCAAATCTGGTGGGGTTTCGCTGAAAGCGGTTGCCCACAGACGCAATGGAAGTGCCAACAGAGGAGTCCAGTAGCTGCCGCTTGCAGCGGTGGCGCCCGGCACGGGCTGAGGGAGGCTCTGCTGCTCCTTAGGGCCGCAGTGAGATAAACACAGTTAAAAGCAAGAATGAGGAACTGAGAATCCGCCTTAGAAAGATAGCAGACAAAAGGAAAGCCGGCAGTAGACGGACTAGCGGCTGAGGCTGTTCAGATGGCAAGCTAGACGCCCAAAGTGGAGGGACCTGGAATGAAAAAATCCTTTTTCTCTCAAATAAGGGTAACAAAAAAAGGAATCTAGTTCAGGTTGAGGCTACTCTTCCCGCTCCCGCCTATCCTGCCGTTACTCCTACCGCTCTGGCTGCAGAATTAAAGGGCTGTAGAGAAAGGGCTGTGCTGCACTTCTCCCCTTTCTGTCCATACTCTTGGGCTTCAGTGCCAGAATAAACAAGTTTGCACTATGAGATTAGGCCTATCGATGAGTCCGCCAGATGAAGCGCTAAACGGCACACAAAACCGCTAACAGAGCGGCTGCGACTTTGCGCAACGACGCCAACAGTAGCAGCTGTAGCATCTACTGCTGCAGCTAGAGCTGCAACAACAGCAGAGAACGGCGTGTTGAGTGTTTAAACCCCCTGAAGCACTAACTAAACAAACGAAATGAGACAGGATTTTACGTTGAGAGAAATGTCTGGTGCGCGCCGGTGGGCTGTCTTCATTGCCGCGTTCTACTACGGCCCGTCAACAGCACTTTTTCCAGCTATGAAACTTATTTCTATTAGGAATAGACTTTGCTTCACGTCGGACTGAAACATGATCTCCAGTTGCAGGATATGTTGGGGAAACGGTAGTTCTCGCGGGTGATGCTTCCGTTTCCAGACACTGCATTACATGGGATACAGAGTTTTGCTTCACATCTTTAGGTGACTAGTCGGGTGTGCACGTAGCTTTGCCAGTTACTTTGTGATAAAATACAGGATCTAGTTGAAGGAAAAAGCACAGATGTTGGTAGGTGCTGAAGGTGAAGTCGTTGCAGCTCCAATTAAGAGGTTGTGGGGACTCCAGTAAGTGTGAAGATCATGCGTGCAGAGTCCCTGCCCAGTAAGTGCCGTGCCTTTACTAAGGAATGTTAAATGAGGAAGCTGGTGTGTGTCCGCGGGCGTCTAGCTCAAATGGTAGAGCGCTCGCTTAGCATGCGAGAGGTAGAGGGATCGATACCCTCGTCGTCCATCGGATCATCTTCTCTTGTTCTTTCATGTCATTGACTAGCACAGCTCTTTCATGTTATTGACTATCCACAGAGCAGCATCATGTGTCTGGATACTTTTCCGGAGGCTTGAGGCTGCACGTGTAGGCACGATTAGGCTGACGCAGAGCGTGCGTGCGTTATATTACTTGGAGCGCTCGTCTACGTGCTGACACTACAGGGGTACGACAGAGCGTGCGTGGGATAGTATGCAGGGTAATTTCTCGCTTCGAAGAATACACTTACAGAGGCACGCGTGGAGAACGTGTGAAGTCTACAAGAACAAATACTTGAAGGCGACTTCACCCAGACTTTTGTAGACCCGCAGGCGTCAGTGTATACGCGAACTACGTAACACCCCGGGTATTGTGCAGATTGTTGAAGTCACTGTAACAATCCCAAGTGCATCTCTGGGTTGAGGCGTATACGGTACATACACGTAAGTTGTATTCACTGTAAAAATGCAAAGTGCATCTAGGGGTTAAAGGGCATACGGTACATAAACGTAAAATGACATCTGCTGTGCGTGCGTGTGTCGGATCGAGAGGTGCAGTGAAGGCCTCTGACGACTTCTCTCATATTTTCATTTCGAAAACTGGGAGAGAGAACTGCAAAAGTGGGTTTTTCGACAGGAATCAACGCTTCCACGAAGGAACCATGTAAAATGCATTTAGATGTGCTGGATGTAAGGAGACGTACTTCTTCGCCTTCGTTGTACATAGACTTCCGGTGCATGCCTTTGTGCATTCGCCGAGACTAGGGAATTAAAATTTAAGGCTCGTCACAGGGAGAATCTGTTCTCCTTTGCAACCGTTTGCTTGCTTCTTTTTAAACAAAACTTATTCTTTTAAATGAGTTGACGTTTGTACATACACAGTGCTGGGACTCCAATACGAAGATTAGATAATTCATACAGATACACCTAAATGAATATATATGTACAGGTATGCATTTGAGGGTTCCCATGCACGCATACGTGTACAGCTATGTTCATATATGTACGCGTATGTACATAATATGCATTTACGCACTCAGCATTCAAACACATATATCCATTATGTGCTGACATAGGTATGCTTTGGCAAGTGTGGAGTGCAGTGATGCAAATAGGTGTCCCACACGCAAATATGCACAAAACACTTCAGAAAATAAGCTTGGCTCTGTGTAGAGAGTTAAATATTTAAAAAAAGACTACAGGGACCTCCCTGCTAAACTTTACGAGGGTAATTCCCTCGCAGAAAACAGAAAAATGTTCCCTTACCAATGTGACGAACTCCTGTTGCTACTGGTCCTATTCACCCACATGTCTTTTGTCCTGCTACAAATATTGCGGCTCCTGCCGCAGCAGTTTTGGACAGTATCATCGCTGGCGTTGCTTGAGCCTCCCCAAATCGAATGATTCCATTGATGCAGCGGCTGCTCTCGATCTAATCAGCAGAACGACCACGTACGGCCAAATTTTGCAGTATACACTGTTGCCGCTACTACTAACACGCAGCGCGACGAAGAGGACCACGTCTTCACCTGCATGTGTCCTGACCGGAGTTCGCTACTTAGCGCCCGCTCTCAGTGCCACTGTTGTTGCTACTAGTGCCGATTCTGTTGCTACTACTGCTACTCCAGGAGCGTTTAGATTGTCTGGATGACACGCACTTCTTTGCAGTCCTCAGAGAGGCAGAAGGCCACGATAGAGGCCACCTTGGCCGCAGCAGCACAGTCATGCCCTCATCTACAAGGTGATCCCTGCTTTTCATAGTGATACTGCTGCTGCTGGAGATAGCAGCGGGAGCTGCAGAGTACGGCCTGACGGGGACAGTGTACTTAACTCCGCAAGGGACACAACATCCCCATGAATAATGCGAAACACTGTGGGAAGCTGTCGGCTCCGGCTGCGTCGCACCCTCTGTTTTCGTCTTAGCAGTTGCTGCTGTTGGGAGATTGGCACTGCTGACGGGGCTGCCTTTGCTGCTTTTCCAACGGGCTGTTCTGTCGGCGTCACAGGCCCAGAAAGGCTTACAGTAGGAAGCGGCAGCAGCTGCTGCTTCCTTTTCGGCGCGAATAGAACGGGGACTCGGGGCCCGTAAAGCTCCCAAAGGATCTTTGCCAGATTCATACAAGTTTCCAGGAGAAGCGCCGTAGGGGGCCTCTGCGTGCCTCTGTAAAAGCACTCCCGGAGGAAGCTCCGGCAGCTCCGCAGCCCTTGCCTCATCCTGGAGCTGTAAAAAGCTCGCGAACGCTTGCGTGCTGCAAATTTCTTGAACCAAAGGGTCTGCTTCTTTGGGCAACCCGTGTCCCCTTGACCTGCCTGCTTGGGCAGAGGCTTCCTTGCCTTTCAAAGCGCCCCCACGAGCCCCAACTGCAAGCCCCTCACGTCGACATCCTGTGAAAGTGTTGCAACCCCTCAGCAAGTCCACAAAAAAACGAAGGAAAGCCTCCCGAACTGCTGCGTCTGCTGCTGCGTCCGCCTGCTTTTGCTGTACTCGCTGCTGCTCCTCCTGCCGCTGCTGGCAGCACGTGTCAATAGCCAGGGAAGAGCTCCAATCACCGAAAAACCCAAGTGGGTTTTCTGCTGAATCCAGAGGGTGAATTTGGGGCTGTGCGCATACAGTGCTTGCCTGTTTCAGTGCAGCAATACGAAGCGCAGCGGCTGCTGCTGCCATATCTGTTTCTTCTTTTTCCGTTGCAGCCTCTGCCTGCGGAGGAGGCGAATGCTCCGTGTTGGAAATACAATCGCCGCTGCCACTACTGGGGGCAGCAGCAACTGGTGTAGTAGCACACACGTCCTGAGTGCCAGTGTTGACAGCTGATAAAGTCAACGTGTCGCCTTCCTCAGAGGACTCAAAGGAAACTCCTGAAAACTCACGCCACACAGGGAGCAAGTTACTACTCGATTCTGTCGCTGCAGAAGCCACTGCAGCGGCGCCATCATACACTCCTGCTGCAGCAATGAATGTCGCTGGCGCTGAGGAGATCGCAGTGCCGGGGCCCCAAAGCTCATCTCTGTTGCTGGCCCCCGATACCGCTGCTGCAGCTGTAGACGGTGCAGTAACGCCCCTTGCTGCAGCAGTTGAGGGCCTTGTTCCTGTGCCCCAAGCTTTACTTCGTTCAAAAACTTCACTACTGCTTCTGCATTGCCGCTGCCACAAAAGCGACACTCCCCTCCGCCCCCGATTGCTAGGTATCGCTGGCCGCTGTTTCTGCTCTAGCAGCGACAGTGATTG